AAAATTGCAAAAATCGCAAAAATTCCTGAAAATTGCAAAAAATCGCAAAAATTCCTGAAAATTGCAAAAATCTCAAAAATTCCTGAAAATTGCAAAAAATCGCAAAAATTCCTGAAAATTGCAAAAATCGCGAAAATTCCTGAAAATTGCAAAATCGCAAAAATTCCTGAAAATTGCAAAAATCGCAAAAATTACTGAAAATGGCAAAAATCGCAAAAATTCCTGAAAATCGCAAAAATCGCAAAAATTCCTGAAAATTGCAAAAATCGCAAAAAATTCCTGAAAATTGCAAAAATCACAAAAATGCCTGAAAATTGCAAAAATCGCAAAAATTCCTGAAAATTGCAAAAATCGCAAAAATTCCTGAAAATTGCAAAAATCGCAAAAATTCCTGAAAATTGCAAAAATCGCAAAAATTCATGAAAATTGCAAAAATCGCAAAAATTCCTGAAAATTGCAAAAATCGCAAAAATTCCTGAAAATTGCAAAAATCGCAAAAATTCCTGAAAATTGCAAAAATCGCAAAAATTCCTGAAAATTGCAAGAATCGCAAAAATTCCTGGAAATTTCGAAAATCGCAAAAATTCCTGAAAATTGCAAAAATCGCAAAAATTACTGAAAATGGCAAAAATCGCAAAAATTCCTGAAAATCGCAAAAATCGCAAAAATTCCTGAAAATTGCAAAAATCGCAAAAATTCCTGAAAATTGCAAAAATCACAAAAATGCCTGAAAATTGCAAAAATCGCAAAAAATTCCTGAAAATTGCAAAAATCGCAAAAATTCCTGAAAATTGCAAAAATCGCAAAAATTCCTGAAAATTGCAAAAATCGCAAAAATTCCTGAAAATTGCAAAAATCGCAAAAATTCCTGAAAATTGCAGAAATCGCAAAAATTCCTGAAAATTGCAGAAATCGCAAAAATTCCTGAAAATTGCAAAAATCGCAAAAATTCCTGAAAATTGCAAAAAATCGCAAAAATTCCTGAAAATTGCAAAAATCGCAAAAATTCCTGAAAATTGCAAGAATCGCAAAAATTCCTGGAAATTGAAAAAAATCGCAAAAATTCCTGAAAATTGCAAAAATCGCAAAATTCCTGAAAATTGCAAAAATCGCAAAAATTCCTGAAAATTGCAGAAATCGCAAAAATTCCTGAAAATTGCAGAAATCGCAAAAATTCCTGAAAATTGCAAAAACCGCAAAAATTCCTGAAAATTTCAAAAATCGCAAAAATTCCTGAAAATTGCAAAAATCGCAAAAATTCCTGAAAATTGCAAAAATCGCAAAAATTCCTGAAAATTGCAAAAATCGCAAAAATTCCTGAAAATTGCAAAAATCGCAAAAAATTCCTGAAAATTGCAAAAATCGCAAAAATTCCTGAAAATTGCAGAAATCGCAAAAATTCCTGAAAATTGCAAAAATCGCAAAAATTCCTGAAAATTGCAAAAATCGCAAAAATTCCTGAAAATTGCAAAAATCGCAAAAATTCCTGAAAATTGCAAAAATCGCAAAAATTCCTGAAAATTGCAAGAATCGCAAAAATTCCTGGAAATTGAAAAAATCGCAAAAATTCCTGAAAATTGCAAAAATCGCAAAAATTCCTGAAAATTGCAAAAATCGCAAAAATTCCTGAAAATTGCAAAAATCGCAAAAATTCCCTAAAATTGCAAAAACCTCAAAAATTCCTGAAAATTGCAGAAATCGCAAAAATTCCTGAAAATTGCAGAAATCGCAAAAATTCCTGAAAATTGCAGAAATCGCAAAAATTCCTGAAAATTGCAAAAATCGCAAAAATTCCTGAAAATTGCAAAAATCGCAAAAATTCCTGAAAATTGCAAAAATCGCAAAAATTCCTGAAAATTGCAAAAATCGCAGAAATTCCTGAAAATGCAGAAATCGCAAAAATTCCTGAAAATTGCAGAAATCGCAAAAATTCCTGAAAATTGCAAAAATCGCAAAAATTCCTGAAGATTGCAAAAATCGCAAAAATTCCTGAAAATTGCAAAAATCGCAAAAATTCCTGAAAATTGCAAAAATCGCAAAAATTCCTGAAAATTGCAAAAATCGCGAAAAATTGCAAAAATCGCAAAAATGCCTGAAAATTGCAAAAATCGCAAAAATTCCTGAAAATTGCAAAAATCGCAAAAATTCCTGAAAATTGCAAAAATCGCAAAAATTCCTGAAAATTGCAAAAAATCGCAAAAATTCCTGAAAATTGCAAAAATCGCAAAAATTCCTGAAAATTTGCAAAAATCACAAAAATGCCTGAAAATTGCAAAAATCGCAAAAATTCCTGAAAATTGCAAAAATTGCAAAAAATCCTGAAAATTGCAGAAATCGCAAAAATTCCTGAAAATTGCAAAAATCGCAAAAAATCCTGAAAATTGCAGAAATCGCAAAAATTCCTGAAAATTGCAAAGATCGCAAAAATTCCTGAAAATTGCAAAAATCGCAAAAATTCCTGAAAATTGCAAAAATCGCAAAAATTCCTGAAAATTGCAAAAATCGCAAAAATTCCTGAAAATTGCAAAAATCGCAAAAAATGCCTGAAAATTGCAAAAATCACAAAAATTCCGGAAAATTGCAAAAATCGCAAAAATGCCTGAAAATTGCAAAAATCACAAAAATTCCGGAAAATTGCAAAAATCGCAAAAATTCCTGAAAATTGCAAAAATCACAAAAATTCCTGAAAATTGCAAAAATCGCAAAAATTCCTGAAAATTGCAAAAATCGCAAAAATTCCTGAAAATTGCAAAAATCGCAAAAATTCCTGAAAATTGCAAAAATCGCAAAATTCCTGAAAATTGCAAAAATCGCAAAAATTCCTGAAAATTGCAAAAATCGCAAAAAATTCCTGAAAATTGCAAAAATCGCAAAAATTCCTGAAAATTGCAAAAATCGCAAAAATTCCTGAAAATTGCAAAAATCGCAAAAATTCCTGGAAATTGCAAAAATCGCAAAAATTCCTGAAAATTGCGGGAATCGCAAAAGTTCCTGAAAATTGAAAAAATTGCAAAAATCGCAAATATGCCTGAAAATTGAAAAAATCGCAAAAATGACTGAAAATTGCAAAAATTGGAAAAATTCCTGAAAATTGCAAAAATCGCAAAAATTCCTGAAAATTGCAAAAATCGCAAAAATTCCTGAAAATTGCAAAAATCGCAAAAATTCCTGAAAATTGCAAAAATCGCAAAAATTACTAAAAATTGCAAAAATCGCAAAAATTCCTGAAAATTGCAAAAATCGCAAAAATTCCTGAAAATTGCTAAAATCGCAAAAATTCCTGAAAATTGCAAAAATCGCAAAAATTCCTGAAAATTGCAAAAATCGCAAAAATTCCTGAAAATTGCAAAAATCGCAAAAATTCCTGAAAATTGCACAAATCGCAAAAATTCCTGAAAATTGCAAAAATCGCAAAAATTCCTGAAAATTGCAAAAATCGCAAAAATTCCTGAAAATTGCAAAAATCACAAAAATTCCTGAAAATTGCAAAAATCGCAAAAATTCCTGAAAATTGCAAAAATCGCAAAAATTCCTGAAAATTGCAAAAATCGCAAAAATTCCTGAAAATTGCGAAAATCGCAAAAAGTCCTGAAAATTGCAAAAATCGCAAAAATTCCTGAAAATTGAAAAAATCGCAAAAATTCCTGAAAATTGAAAAAATCGCAAAAATTCCTAAAAAATGCAAAAATCGCAAAAGTTCCTGAAAATTGCGGGAATCGCAAAAGTTCCTGAAAATTGAAAAAATTGCAAAAATCGCAAATATGCCTGAAAATTGGAAAAATCTCAAAACTGACTGAAAATTGCAAAAATTGGAAAAATTCCTGAAAATTGCAAAAATTTCTGAAAATTGCAAAAATTGCAAAATGCAAAAATTGGAAAAATTCCTGAAAATTGTAAAAATTCCTGAAAATTGCAAAATTTGCAAAAATTCCTGAAAATTGCGGGAATCGCAAAAGTTCCTGAGAATTGAAAAAATTGCAAAAATCGCAAATATGCCTGAGAATTGAAAAAATCGCAAAAATGACTAAAAATTGCAAAAATTGGAAAAATTCCTGAAAATTGCAAAAATCTCTGAAAATTGCAAAAATTGCAAAAATTGGAAAAATTCCTGAAAATTGTAAAAATTCCTGAAAATTGCAAAATTTGCAAAAATTCCTGAAAATTGTAAAAATTGCAAAAATTTCTGAAAATTGTAAAAATTCCTGAAAATTGCAAAAATTGCAAAAATTCCTGAGAATTGCAAAAATTGCAAAAATTCCTGAAGATTGGAAAAATTCCTGAAAATTGCAAAAATTGCAAAAATTGCAAAAATTGCAAAAATTTCTGAAAATTGCAAAAATTGCAAAAATTCCTAAAAATTGCAAAAATTCCTGGAAATTGGAAAAATTCACACAACAATCTAGAAAACTATGGAACAATTAACAGAGGCAGTTGTCCAGGTCCAGGAATTACAAAGACATCCTTTAATGATTTTGAATGCATTAAGACGTATTGAGAAAGTGTGTGAGGAAAAATGGACATCAAATTTGATTGATTCAATGAATAAGTTACTGATTAATTTCGAAATTCAATTGTCTTAAAAATTCAAGCTAATTAATTCATCCAACTTTTATATTTATCATGTTTGTCTCAAACATCAGTAAACATATCAAGATATTGACTGTTTTAGGTGTAAGAAAACAAATTGAGTATCTTCAAAACCTAAAAATGTATGGGAGGGGGGGAAGTTCAATTTGAAGAGACTCACTATGTATACTGTGTCTTTCATCTGTACTCTGCAGGTCATTTTTATTATCTCAGTCTGATGGAAAGACAAATCTATTTACTACAGATAATTTAGGGGTCAATAATGTTGTGATATTTATCTGAAATTTCTAGTGAATGGCAAAAAATGTCTGGAAGTTTCCAATGTATCATGTAAAGAATTTCAAATAAAGCTTCCCTTTCTTGGCTGAATGAAATATTTCAATTCTGAAACTTTTCAATAGTCCCAATAACCTTACCTGTTGGTAAATGAACAATCCTGACAGCACTATCTGTGGTATTCACATGTTGGCCCCCTGCACCCGTAGATCTTTTGGTCTCAATCTTCAAATCACCTGGATTTATGTTCACCTCAATGTCATGCGGCTGGGGCAAAGCAATAACAGAAACAGTACTGGTGTGAAGCCTGCCAGCTTTTTCAGTGGTAGGAATACGCTGTACTCTGTGTATCCCAGCCTCATGCTTGAAATAGCTGAAGACTGAGGGGCCATTTATCAAAGCTGAGGCATACCTCAAGCCACCAATATCTGTGGTTGCATACTCTGCAATTTCCAGTTGCCAGCCTTTGTGCTGGGAAAAATTGCAGTACATATCAAACATTTCTTTGGCAAAGAGCATAGCTTCTTGGCCTCCTACCCCTGCCTGGACTTCTAGAACTATATCATTGCATACATCTTCTTTGTCCACAGGGATGAGAGCCTGTATTAGTTTTTTATCTACTTTACTAATCTGTTCTTCCATTTCGACCTTCTCATCTCGTGCCATTTTGGCAATTTCACTGTCCTTTTCCTCCAACAACTCCTTCAAATTATTCAAGTTCTTCACGATATCCTCCCGATCTTTTAAAATCTGTATGATTGGTTGTAACTCTAACCATCTTTTGCCACTATTTATGTTGTTCTTTAGGAGATTATCGTATTCATTTTGCAAATTTATAATGTAGTTGTTCAAAGATGTGCCATTTAGTTTCAGATTTAAATCATAGCTGGGAAGAGAAGAATATTTTCTTCTCAAAGACAAGTTGCTCTTAAAATTGTATGCCAATTTTAGAATCTCTAACGATTTTCGCAAGAGTGTCATGTTTATTGATTATATATCAATCAATCTCTTCATCTCCATACAACATTTTCTATTTCCTCATAATTTGAAAAATAAAGAGATTTCAAATTTTTTGTCCAATGCTAACCTAACCTCACTTCACTTTCACTTCAACACTCTTCTTTCTTTCGATGACCACAGACTTCACAGTCCCTAACTTTCTTCATAACATTTTTGACCTTATTAGACATAACCTAGTTTAACAAGAAAATTGAGACTTTAACCAACTTTTTTTTTTCAAAATTGAAATCACTGTTTAAATTTGAAATAATGAAATTTGAAATCAATACTTTCGTTTTGTTTTCGTGACTGTTGGCTGTTGGTGATAAAAATTATGAAAATATAAAGAGAGCTTGTGATAAAAATGTCAAAGGTTATTAATATTATGTTATATTTGAAATTTTTCATAAAACCAACTGTATTTTCAGGATATTAGATCTTTCTTCAATATAGTGTCCAAAAAAACTGGCAGTGGTACTACTAAACCTGCCGAAACTACTGGAAAAAAACCTAAGCCAAAAAAACCTTTGATAGATTCTGATGATGAAGATATCATCATAAGCACCCCAGAGAAAACACCAAAATCTAGTAAACGGAAAGTCCATCGAATCAGTTCTGATTCAGAAGATGAGAAAAAGAAGAAAAACACCCCAAAAAAATCAAAAATCAAAGAAGAAAAGCTGAAGCCAGTAAACATTGATGAGATTTTCGGAAACAAACCAATCAAACAAAGCAAAGTAGAGCCATTACCCATAGTTGAGCATAAAGAAGAAACCAACAAGACCAGAAAAGGCAAGAAAAAAAAGAAAGGGAACCCTGAAATTGGCATTCATGGAGACAATGAATTTGAGCAAACACTCTTGGAATTGGATGATGATTTTTTGGAAGGTAATGTTGACATATTGGACAAAACCATAGAAGAAGCTCTTAGTAAAGTTGAGAAAGAGGATCCAGAAAATCTGTCCAAACCAGTTGAAGAAGAAAAAAAATTGAAAAAAAGGCAAAGAGACAACTCCCAAGAGCCTCAAGGTAAGATTTTTTCAAAAGGTTTATGTACATAATGATCTGGATGATAATTTAAATGATTGATACCCTTTAGGATCTACAACAAAGAAGCATAAACTTGAACACACTGATTCAGGTATTGATCCTGATCAAGAGGTATTTGAAAAGAGGAGGTATTCAGCTATGTTATATCAGAAATACAAGAACAGAGGGGGGCCAAAACATCATGGAGAAAAAGAAATACCAAAGGTAGGATAATTTGAACATAACTACATGGCTTGAGTGGATTGAATGTTATAATTTCTAGGGCAAACCAGATTGCTTGAAGAACTTAACATTCTTACGTACAGGTGTCTTAGATTCTCTAGATGGTGAAGAATTTGATAATTTAGTGAAAGAACATGGTGGCAGAGTAGTACACTCTGTGTCTAGTAACTATTCTACAATTTTCTTCTGAATTTTTCACTAGTTATTCCATGTTTCAGAAAAAGTGAGCTATTTGGTAGTAGGTGATGAACCAGGACCTTCAAAATTAGACAAAGCTAGAGGTATGAACATACCAGAAATAAATGAAGATGGTCTTTTAGACATGATCTTGGAGAAATCAGGGATGAAACCCAAATTTTCAAAGACAATATCTAACATTTCCAGTGAATCTGGGATAGTGTCTGAGGATGAAGTATTCATACCAAAAAAAGTTGATGTACCATTAAAGAAACAAGAAGAAAAGGTTGAGATCAAAGTGAAAGAGAAAAAATCTAAGGATGAAAGGACTAAAAGTGACAGCAAAAAAGATGATAACAAAGTGAAAGCAGAAGAGCGCATAAAAAAAGAGAAAAAAGAGCCAAATGAAACTTCCTCAAAGGTTGAGATCAAAGTGAAAGAGAAAGAATCTGAGGATGAAAGGACCAAAAGTGACAGCAAAAAAGATGACAACAAAATGAAAGCAGGAGAGCACATAAAAAAAGAGAAAAAAGAGCCACATGAAACTTCCTTGCTTGATGAAAAACCTATGAATGGCCATACAACAAAACCAAAAAAAGATTCCAAACAATCCATATCCAAAGAACTCATGAAAATTACCAAATCAGAAGATTTACCTCAAGTAGAACGTACCAAAACTGTTTTTTCAGATGAGTCATTATCTTGGACAGAAAAATACAAGCCAAAAGACATAAAGAGCATCATTGGCCAACAAGGGGAAAGCAGTAATATGAATAAACTGTCCAAGTGGTTGAAAAACTGGTACAGAAATCAGGTGCCTGAAATCAGGAAAAAAATACCTAGACCCTCACCTTGGGCAAAAAATGATGATGGGGCTTATTACAAAGCTGCTTTGTTAAGTGGTCCCCCAGGAGTAGGTGAGAAAATAAATTCAAAATATCTCATCATTTGAAGATTCTATCAATTCTCAGTTGCTTTCATGAGATTTATTTCAGAAAACTTGCAAATAATATTGAAAGTGTGTTTGTGAAGATTATATAAATGTTTTCAGTAAGAGATTGCATTTTCTCTCTAATTTTGCAGGAAATTGAATCAGCAATTATTTTTGGTCATTCATGTATTCTTTCTTCAAGGAAAAACTACAACTGCCACATTGATTTTGCAAGAATTAGGTTTTGATGTTGTTGAATTCAATGTTTGTAGATTTTATCAATTCTCAGTTGCTTTCATCAAATTTATTACAGAAAACTTGCAAATAATATTGAAAGTGTGGTTGTGAAGATTATATAAATGTTTTCAGTAAGAGATTGCATTTTCTCTCTAATTTTGCAGAAAATTGAATCAACAATTATTTTTGGTTATTCATGTATTCTTTTTTCAAGGAAAAACTACAACTGCCACATTGATTTCCCAAGAATTAGGTTTTGATGTAGTTGAATTCAATGCTTCTGATACTAGGAGCAAGAGGTTGTTACATGAAGAAGTATCTCAGTTGTTGAGTACTACTACTATTGCAGGATTTGCTTCAGGTAATTCATGCCAATTCATAAAAATATCTTAGTTCATTGGCAATTAACACTGAAAAATACAAAACTAATAATTTTATCTTGCCCTCAATTTCAATTTTGATACCCATGAGCATCATCAAACAATGTGACCATCTGAAAACTGTTGAATGTTATAAAACCAATTTTGTGTAATTTTTTCATTGAAAACTCCATCATTTTTGTGTGAACCCAAAGAAAGCAGTTATTTTTCTCCAAATTACATTAAAAGTGGCTTTTTACTTTTATTGCTTGGTAATCAAAAGTGACAATCACATTGGGTGAACATAAAATGATGGTTTATTTCAAATTTGAATGAAATTGGAACGAATTTGGAGAAAAAAATTCTAACCAGGGAATGTGACTGAAATCGTTACCACCGATACAACAAGGCCAGCAGACTCTGACGTAAACAGCTCGTGACGTCACCAAGAGTCACCAGTGTTTTATTTTATCCCTTGTCGACTAACGCGTCAGTTCCTGTTAATTCATCGGTGATTCACGTATGTTTTTGAAACGGTCACGAATTCTTTTGTTGTTTATTCATCAAAATAATTGGCGAAAAAATTACTGTTTTGTGAAATATTTTGTGTTGTGATCGGCGAAATAACAATGCCTTTCAAGTGTTGTGTTCCCTTTTGTCGGAGGAATTATGTGGGTGGTTCAAAAGTTCATGCTTTTAGTTTCCCGTTGGACGAGGAGCTATCGAAAATGTGGGTATATGCAATTCACCGCGAGGATTTTACTCCATCTAAGTTCAGTAGTAAACAGAGCTTAATTTATAATGATGAATTAATAATAGAAGACAATTGATTTCTCATAAAAAGTATAAGTAGAGGAAAAATAGAAAAGCTTTGATTGTGCAGTTAGTTTTGTATTCGTATATTATAGTCAACAAAATCATCTCTGAATTCGAGGAAATTTTCTTGAATGTTCATAATAAACAGGCATTTGTAATTCTCATTCTCAAATTTCTTTCTGAAAACGGTCATTTGCCTCGTGGCAATGAATGCAGAATTCATTCCAATGATCAAATTACAACTATCATATTAACATGAACTACAAACACTCTACTTAAAAAGGTAAAACTGTTGAATTTTCTATATAAAAATGTGCCATCGAAGTACATCATGAGTATATAAAGTGTCTAATGACAAAATAAGAGCAAGTAGCTTCAAATGCCCCCAACACAAGGGGAGAAAGAAGGCGAAATCTCGAACTTTTTCTTGAAATATCTCAATAAATAGTGGTTTGTTCACATTTTCATTATAAAATTCGGTTTATCAGACAAAAATACGTGAGTACCGAAAACATTTTTCAAAAAAAAAACCATCGCATGATAAATGCAGTTTTACCCTTAAAAATTACGGTTTCAAGTGTAACGATCCACTTGGGTGAAAAATCCAACAACAGGAAAATTGAAAACACTCACTGGTTATTTTTTCAGGTAATGGGAATTCTCCAAGATAAATATAGGTAATTGTAACAAACGGCATGTCAATCAAAATAAAATACATTTTCCACAATTTTCTTTCGATCAATCTCACGATAAGTTTATGTTCTGCGGGCCCTGTATAAGTAGGTGTGAAGTTTACCTTCACCACAATTTTTGCCAATATATTTAATTCGAATGGGTTGCTGTAGGTGGATATTTGTGTTTTATCCTGGTTTTTGCTTTAAAACTTCGTTTTTCCATAATAAAATCGAATTGGGTGCGAAGAAGGGCTCAGTTGACGACTGGCATCCTTTTTTAACCGGAAGCCCTTCAAAAAACAGCAAAATCGTCTCAATGATGATCTAAAACTAAAATCGAAATACGCGGTCGCCTTATAGCGCTATAAGCGCTTGTCGTTTCGAGCCGCTGGTTAGGCCTGACTAAGTGACGTCACCCACGGATCATGCAGGCCTTGTTGTATCGGTGGTAACGCTGAAATCCGGTTTGTCTTATTTTTTGTTTAAGGTGAAAAAACGACAACCAAAAAACGCGTCTTATTGATGGACGAAGTTGACGGAATGGCGGGAAACGAAGACAGAGGCGGCATGGACGAACTGATAAACCTCATCAAGAACACCAGCATACCCATAGTGTGCATGTGCAACGACAGAAACCATCAAAAAATGAGATCACTGGTCAACTACTGCTTCGACCTGAAGTTCAGCAAACCCCGATTAGAACAAATTAGGGTTAGACATTATCATAGAACCATTTTTCTTGTAGCCCTCTACAAAAAATCACATTTTACGTTCTAATTTCCGAACCAAAAACCGACTATTTCGGACGCAGACACTAACTTTCCGTTCGTTGTTCGCTACAATGTTGCCAGTTCTACTGAATTCTATTAGTAGATCTCCTGATTTGCATATTGATCTACAGATCTACTGGAACATTTCATAACCTACTGAAAAATATTTTGACATTTATTTGATACTGTCTACACAACCGCTGTGACGATATTTCTTCCTTCTTCATAGAGAGTATTTCCGAGCAAAGCGATAGCTGAGTTGACTGTGTATTTGACCACCACGGCGGTGACTCGGGTTCAACCCCTGCGAGGCTTAACTTTTTTTAAATATTTTTCACAAGTAATTTTTCGAAAGGTATACTTTTCAGGAAGAAGGTTTATTCAGGCAAGTTGGGTTAGTTTGCTTGAAAAAAGCAGTCTCTTTTTTTATGCAGAACCGATATTTTCCATTTTCATGTTTCCGGCGGTCTTCTAAGTAAAAATAGAACCGGCGGTTGTTTATGTATCAGTATCCAACCGCCACGGCGGTTGTGTCGACGGGTCCTATAACAATACTTGCTGAATATGGAGAGAAAAAAATCTAGGGCTGAATATGGAGAGAAAAAATCTAGTGAGCTGTAGTATCTAGTCTGCTCAAACAAGGAAAATCACCTACAGGTTTCTGTGGCCGATACAGTAGTGCCGCCATACGGCCAACTCGAGGAAACACTTATTTCAATTGATTTCCTGTCAAACCTACATAACCTTGAAAATCGTAAATGAGTTGAGCAGTTTGTTCAGTAGTTGCGATTTATTCATCCGATTCCGCCACAGAAATCACTTTAGTGTGTCGTTTTATTTGCAACTTTTCCGATTCCGGTTGCTACTTTTCATTCCGTCTCATTACAAGGAACGACCTGAATGACTGTTGACAGTTGTCAAAAAATAAAATTAGATTGACGAAAAACGAAACATTGAAAGATGAAGACATTTAGAAGAATTTTTTATGATTTTCTAAAGTAAGACAGTTCTTATATCTTCATTCCCAGATAAAATGTATTCTCTCGATCTCAGAGAACACTCACCAATCATCACAATCACTGCTCCCAATATGCGTTAATTTATTCTCTTGATTTTTCACTAGTATTTTGATTTCGAAAATATTTGGAGCCCAAATAAATACATAAATATAACCTCCATTTATTTATAATATGTAAATTTCTCTCGTGGAAGGATTGCAACTTATTGAAGTTTCTCGTTTCATTAGTAAATGTAATTCTGTTCTTACCACCGTTACCAGAGCGGAACAAATAAAACGCAACTATTGAGATTGAGTTCAGTATCATGAATTAGTCACTCAGTAACTCAAAAATTAAAAAAAAATCATTCCTTCTCAAAATGGATTCTACAGACACTACAATAGTCCCCAATTTCGTAACGTTCAAACACCTAGCTTAGCTTTTACTTGTTAATATATCCACTTATGTCGCAAAGAAATAAATGTCACTTGGAAATCCATGAATAGAGACGGTTTCACACTTTCTGGTAGGCACAATTGAGAGACAGGGTTTGTAACAAATTATCAATCAGAATAAACTACTTTAATACTGGAAGCACAACACAAAACTATATCTATAAACGAAAGAAATATTAGAACAATGAGAATGGAAGAAGACAATACAATACAAGTCACGATGGCATGGCAGCTCTTGACACTGACAACTTACATAACCACAAATTTCGAGAATTTTCTATAAAAAAGTAAAGATCATTTCGTCCGATACGGTAACATCGTCTGGTGGTCATACACTCAACTGCGCTATTGAGCAGACCAGTAGGTACAGCTCACTAGATTTTTTTCTCCTTATTTAGCAGACAATGGCTCAGGACAATTTGAATGAAAAATATGTGGCATGATTTGATTACTCAGAGATGAAATATTATAACTTTCATCTTGAGAAACAATATTAATTTGTTTTCCTATTATCAAGAGAAATGTTTCTTGGGGGTAGTAAAGACAATCGATCAATCAATATCTAAAAATAACTATAAAAACATGATATGTAGCAGAAGTATCATTTCATATAATCAAATATCCAAAATTTCTGAATTCTCAATCAACCACGATTTCATTTTTTTGTTTACAAAAAAAACAGAAGAAGGAGGCAATTTATTGTAGATTTGTTAACCTTTATGAATGACATGTTGTTGCATTGAAGTTGAAGAGAATTTCTCAGAAGTAGAATGATTTTCAGGGTGCCATGTTGTCGATCTGCTTCAAAGAGAACATCCAAATACCCCCCAACGCCCTATCCGAGATCATATCAAGCACAGGCTGCGACATACGTCAAACGCTGAATCACCTGTCTATGTGGAGCGCAAATGACAAAAATATGTCCATGGAGACCGTCCAGAAAGAGACGAAAAATGCGAAAAAGGACACCGTTTTGGGGCCCTGGGAGGTCGTCAGACTAGTCTTCACCGAGGCGGAACAGAAGAACATGACCTTGGCCGACAGATCGAGACTGTTTTTCTACGATTACAGCCTGGGGCCGCTTTTCGTACAAGAGAACTATCTAAACGTTACGCCGAATTGTCCAAAGTTAGTAATCAAACCTTGGGACTGAATAACAATAGATACTGTGATTTATTTATAAATCACGAAAAAATATATATGCCAACAATCATAACGGCTGGACCAATTTTTATACATGATTTTTTTGGATTTCTCCTAGTCCGGAATAAAATAATAAGTATTAAAATTCCTGAAAATTAGGAAATTCAAGATGGCGGATTTTGTAATTATGATTCGATTCTATTCAAAATTGGTATTGGGGGTTTTTGGGGTCGGAGATTATGATTCCTTCGTGAAAATTAGTAAATTCAACATGGCGGAACCAATATCGCGGACGAGTTTTGTAATTATTATCAGATTCTATTCAAAATTGGTATCTAGGGGTTTTTGGAGTCGGAGATTATGATTCTTTCGTCAAAATTAGGAGATTCAAGATGGCGGGCGAGGTTTTTTAATTACGATCCGATTCATTTCAAAATTTGTGCCTGGGTGTTTGGGGGTCAGAGATTATGTATTTTTTGTAAAAATTAGGAAATTCAAGATGGCTGATCCAATATGGCGGTAATTATGATCCGATTCTATTAAAAATTTGTATCTGGGCGTTTTCAGGGTCGCAGATTATGATTCAACCATCAATATTAGGAAATATAAGATGTCGGATCCAACATGGCGGACTAGTTTTGTAATTATGATCCGATTCTATTCAAAATCGGTGTCTGGGGGTTTTTGGTGTCGGAGAGTATGATTATTTCGTCAAAATAAGGAGATTCAAGATGGCGGGCGAGGTTTTTTAATTACGATCCAATTCATTTCAAAATTTGTGCCTGGGTGTTTGGGGGTCACAGATTATGTATTTTTTGTAAAAATTAAGAAATTCAAGATGGCTGATCCAATATGGCGGACGATTCTTGTAATTATGATCCGATTCCATTAAAAATTTGTATCTGGGCGTTTTCAGGGTCGCAGATTACGATTCATCCGTCAAAATTAGGAAATATAAGATGCCGGATCCAACATGGCGGACGAGTTTTGTAATTATGATTCGATTCTATTCAAAATCGGTGTCTAGGGGTTTTTGGTGTCGGAGAGTATGATTATTTCGTCAAAATTAGGAGATTCAAGATGGCGGGCGAGTTTTGTAACTACGATCCGATATATTTCAAAATTTGTGACTGGGTATTTGGGGGTCAGATATTATGAATTTTTCGTCAAAATTAGGAAATTCAAGATGGCGGATCCAATATGGCGGACGATTCTTGTAATTATGATCCTATTCTATTAAAAATTTGTATCTGGGCGTTTTCAGGGTCGCAAATTATCACCTAATGAGTTGAGAAATATAAAAGAAGCAGAAAAATTTTAAATAAAATTAAAGAAATATCTGCTCAGTAAACTTCAATTCCATATCTACTCTGATCATTCACAATTTGATTACTTGGAATGGATTATAATATTTTCATTTTATTATAATTTTTTTTATGAAAAACAATAATTGTAGAATTATTATTGTTTTGATTTATTATGTTATATGTATGTTTTGTTGTATACACCCCTATTAAAAACAATAATGTTTCTTGGGGTAATAAAGACAATCAATCAATCAATCATTATTATTGATATCTCAGGAAAGAGGTGATGAAAAGGGTGGCAATGGCTGCTGATGCCATCAGCATGGGCGACTTGATCGACGCGAAGATAAGGGGCTCGAACAACTGGTCGTTGTTGGAGAGCCAGGCGATGTTTGCGTCGGTGTTGCCAGGTTTCCACATGCGCGGCAACGTCACGGCTCGCATCAACTTCCCCGGCTGGCTGGGCAAGAATTCCTCGGCTACCAAGCACAAGAGGATGCTCGGCGAATTGCATATCCATGCGAGGATCAGGTACTTTTTTATTATTAACGCCCTTATACCGTTTTCCACTGGAGTAAAATTGTGTATATACGTATATCCTTGGATAATTATATATGATGAATAAAGAAAAAGAACATTCAATGCGGAAAAAGTTCGGGCTAGTGTGACGAATGGAAACCTTTATTTTGTTAGCTGGGTATGTATGTTTGTATCTAACGCGGAATCTATGAACGTGATTTCGAAGCATAATTAATTGGTTTAGTTTCATTATCCTGATCAGGATCTTCAGGATAAGCGATTTTTACATCCAGGAGACACGGCAGTTTCTTCCACCATGTATACTCTTATGATCGAATTCCCCACGTTCATTGCTGGTCGAATTGAAAAAAAAACTAAGAAAATACCGAGGAAAGTAAACAACAAAAATCAACACCTCCACCTCCTCAGCATATTCTATGTTTAAACTACTATTCGTTTTCCACAACAAATGAATTAGCAAAAAGTATGGGCCAACAAACCCCAAAGGCCTAAACACGAATTATTATTGAAAGAAATGGCGAATGTGCCGGTTTTTATAACTTTTTATAATCGCGATTTCAATAAATGTGCGTCTGTGCTATAATAATAAACTGATTTTCACTTATTATCATATTATATTACCTGTAGTTTCTAAATCGATCTTTTTTGACCACAAGTGTTTGTTGGAATCGTCTCATCGGAAGGAACATAGAAATGCCAAAATACTCAAGTTGTCCAATTTGAAATTCTGAATCTGATGTCACGTGGCCGAAAACACAAAGCTCATTGGGTGAAAAAATATGAGAAAAAGCTGCACCGATAGCTTAAATTCACAACCTCGAAGTTACAAATTTCTAGTACTCTTGAGTTCCGAGATATTCCCTGTCTTGATCATCGTGGGACACCCGATAATTATATCACAAGTATCCTAAACCAAACTAAATGCCCAACCACGAATCAATAATATATCAAAGACTGGAACCTTTGGATAATACACTACACACACACACACACACTGTTTTACCACTAACCAAACCAAACATATATAGGCCAAACCAGGCATCCCATAAAAACAAGGCTCAAAGAACACTTAGTACATTTGAAATATGGTAGGTTAGATAAACACATGTTCTATCTATATCAACTGAACAGGAAGCAATGCTATTGTCTCCGTTCAGAAGAATGCACGCAGATTCCTTGATTTTTCTTTTCTGGTTGTTGATAAAGATAGAACATGGTATTCACTATTGAAATCTGAAGATGAAAATGGTAAATTCAAGATAAATCAATGAAAAGACCCTGTAACTCATTTGATTGCCAACGCCACCAATTGTCACTGAGAACTGAAAAGTGTAAATACGAATTTGCGATACAAAAAATCCATTTTTTATGTTGAAAACGGGAGCAGATTCGTTCCCGAAACGTCCAAAGCTAAGTAAAAATTTGATGTTTTTTCTATATACCTTTATTTCTCTTCTCCAAACTTTTTTCAATACAAATTGTCGCTGACAAGCTGGTGAATTTCTCTTTTAGGCTCTCTGAAAATTCTTTTGGGGCAAATCATCTGATTTGTCCTCACTACATGTATATTGAAATAATATTCATATTTTTATTTTATAGAAACGAGGAGAGAAAATACCAAAAAATCTGGAATAATACAATGAACTAATTTCACATCTTTTGTTATGTACCTCAAAATAATGATATATGTTTACGAGTCCCAAGTTTTAGACAATAATTACTATTATCTTGCAATGTTTTTCAGTACTTCTGGTAGCAAGATGGCCATGAAACTGGACTACCTCGTCCCGCTTCGTAACGCCATTATCATGCCACTGAAAAAATACGGCACAGATGGCGTCCAACAAGCCCTAGCTGTCATGAAGGCGTACAACTTGCTCAGAGAAGATCTGACGAATCTCGTCGAGCTTTGTCAATGGAAGGATGCCAAAAATCCTTTCAATGACATCGACGCAAAGGTAAAACAAATTTTGGGAATTTATCTATACCTATGAAGTTTTTCAACATTTTCATTTTCGTTAACCAAAACTTATTTTGCAGCTTAATTTCACTCCTAGGACAAAAAAATACATTCAATCCTGAAAACTTATAGTATTGCCTAGCAACACTACTGTTTATCTAGCAACACTACTGTTTGCCTATCAACGCTATAATGGTTACCTGGCAACACTACTGTTTGCCTAGCAACGCTATAATGGGTACCTAGCAACACCACTGTTTGCCTAGCAACGCTATAATGGTTACCTAGCAACGCTCCTGCTTGCCTAGCAACGCTCCTGCTTGCCTAGCAACGCTACTGGTTGCCTAGCAACGCTACTGGTTGCCTAGCAACGCTATAATGGTTACCTAGCAATGTTACTGTTTGCCTAGCAACGCTACTGGTTGCCTAGCAATGCTTCTGTTGCCTAACTACGCTATTATTGTCACAATTTGATGCAATTTAAATTTGTATAATATTCAACAAAAAACTATAAAACTATGTCTTTGTTGCCAATTAGTTTGGAACATTATTTTCAGGTGAAATCAGCATTTACGAGGGCGTACAACAAAGAAGCCCCCCTTCTACCTTTTTCATCTGCAGCAGGGGTGTCAAAAAAGAAATCTTCAACAGAAGAATCCACGTTATTAGATGAAGAGGAAGAATTTGCGGAATCTGACGATGAAGAAAATAAAGATGATGTCACTGAAGATGCCATGATAAAGGTAGAAAGAAACTATGTCATGGCAAACATAAATCAAATAGTTGGAAAAAATATGGTGGCCCACTGAATTTAGTGTTTTCAATTCTGGAATTTTTAAATTGACAATAATTCGGACAAGAATATTTAGCATGCTTCATTCTGAATATAATTTAGTTTCTTTTGGTTTCTGTATTCGAAAATGAATTCAATACACACAGAAAAAACTTTGCACAGTGATATTTTCAATGTTCTGAAATTCTCAAAGAATCGGAAAATTAACACTGCTCATGACTAGTGCAATAATTAAATTTCAATATTTTCAATTGTATTTTTCTTCTAGGTGAAGACTAAAACGGAAAAAGGTAAAAAAGATGCGAAAAAACCCGGTACTAGCAAAGCTAAAGATTCATCGAAAGGAAAAACAAAAAAGGGAAAAGGAAAATGAAATCATTTTAGGGAACACTTTTGAAACATCTCTGGCGATCTGAAATTACTGTTAGATCTGTAATATAGTTTTATTTTTTTTACAAGCTTATTATTATTATTCATTGTGAAAACATTATTCTGTAGCATCATGTTTTGTTATGTTTTTTCTTACTACTATATGTTAGTTTTTGAAATATACCTGCTCTTTATTTTGACATAAGCCTCAATTTTTTTCACCCGCAGATACTTGAAAAAAATCAATAAAATCTTGATAGAAATTTCCATACTCAGGACAATAGAGGACACACTATAAGGGGAAAAGTTTTTATGAACATGGGTCCGCAAGGCCTTCGGTTAAAAGATACGGGGTGTTGAATTTTAATGGAAAAATGTATTGAAGTACAAGGGCAACAATTTGAACATCTTCTAAAAACTTAATGTTTTGTTCTAATTAATCATATTTTTCATCATACCATGAAAATGTAATTGTTGAAGTATTTATCATTGTTTTTGCAAAAGTTACTTTGGCGCTTTTTGAATAATTTGCGTGCATTGTCGGCTTTCAGATGCATTTGTACTGGAACCATTGCTTCTAGCGACTTGGACAAGGTATACCTTTCTCAAGTATAAAAGAAGGGATAACAACTTTGTATGTAGCGCCCTCTATCAGTCATCACAGAACTAAGATCATATTCGAATATAGCATGATAAAAAACCCTTGTATACCACATTTTATCCATTTCTTGCGTCTCTGGCTGAAGATATTCAAAGAAAACACGAAAAAAAAAATTCATAATTCAACACCCCGTATCTTTTAACAGAAGGCCTTGCGGACCCATATTCATAGGAACTTATTTTCCTATAACTTTTTTTTCTCTTACAGATGATATTTCGTAGTAATAGTTTTGTGTTGATAACAACGGAGTTATCGTCATTTATACAAAAACAAAAAATTATTTGGAAGCCGCCATCTCGAATTTTTGAATTTTAATAAAAAGTCATGATCTCCGACCTCAAAAACCCCCACTTACCAATTTTGAATGGAATCGGATCAAATCTTGTCCGCCATCTTGGAGCAGCCATTTTTTTTAATTTCAACAAAAAATCCATAATGTATTTTCACCGAAATTATGAACACCTGCCAAATTCCAAGTTAATCGGAGTTTTGGAATTTTTGTTGAAATTAAAAAAAATGGCTGCTCCAAGATGGCGGACAAGATTTGGTCCGATTCCATTCAAAATTGGTAAGGGGGGGCTTTAGAGGTCGGAGATCATGATTTTTTTGTTGAAATTTATAAATTCAAGATGACGGCTTCCAAATAATTTTTTGTGTTTGTATAAATGACGATAACTCCGTTGTTATCAACACAAAACTATTACTGCGACATATCATCTGTAAGAGAAAAAAAGTTATTTGTAACTAAGTCATAGTGAGCTATGACCTACATTTGAAAAACTAAAGTTGGTGCTGATATCTCAAATTCTAGAAGAGTTGGTATAAATTTCATATTTTTTTCGAAATCACTTTGAAAACCTGCCATGAGAATGTGAAACTCCTATTTGAATATTTTCATAAATAAAGAAGTTACGGAGGAGACATGGAAATGATCAAAATCTGTTTTTTGCGTATAAAACAAAAACGAATAGATTTTAACGAAATATTTTTTCACATTATAGTTGGCCTTGACAAACTCCACATTTGGTGTCATTTAACCGACGTCGTATCTCTCACCGCTAAAAAGATACCCATGATGAGCATGGTAAGTGGGACACACTGTATGCGATTATATTATTGATCAAACATTCAGTCGGTTCCTAGTTTGTTCAATACAAAATTTCCTTCGTCAGTACAAAACGTTCCTTACTTTTTCAAGTGAAAATAATTGACTGAAGAAAAAAATGGGAAACACTGAAAGCAATGTCACCAGCGGTGTCAAAAAGCAGGCTGGGGCTTCCATGCAGCCCATTTACAAATTGGCAGATCTAAAAGGTATGATACGGCTAAAAGGCATACAGGGTGTACCAAAAAATATTCAATTTCAGGTGGAGGTCTACTGGTTGAATTAATGAAGAGAGCCACGCAAAATAAACAGTTTGCTGAGATAGACCATGCTATAAAAACAAAGGTGAACCAAACGAATCTAATTATAAATCAGGCATTTTTGCAATTTTCAGGAATTTTTGCGATTTTTGTCATTTTTGCAATTTTCATGAATTTTTGCAATTTTTGCAATTTTCAGGAATTTTTGCAATTTTTGCAATTTTCAGGAGTTTTTGCAATTTCTGCAATTTTCAGGAATTTTTGCAATTTTTGCAATTTTCAGGAATTTTTGCAATTCTTGCAATTTTCAGGAATTTTTGCGATTTCTGCAATTTTCAGGAATTTTTACAATCTTTGCAATTTTCATGAATTTTTGCAATTTTTGCAATTTTCAGGCATTTTTGCAATTTTCAGGCATTTTTGCGATTTTTGCAATTTTCAGGCATTTTTGCAATTTTCAGGAATTTTTGCAATTTTCAAGAATTTCTGCAATTCTTGCAATTTTCAGGAATTTTTGCAATTTTTGCAATTTTCAGGAATTTCAGCAATTTTCAGAAATTTTTGCAATTATTGCAATTTTCAGGAATTTTTGCAATTTTTGCAATTTTCAGGAATTTTTGCAATTTTCAGAAATTTTTGCAATCTTCATGAATTTTTGCAATTTTCAGGAATTTTTGCAATTTTTGCAATTTCTGCAAATTTCAGAAATTTTTACAATTTCTGCAATTTTCAGGAATTTTTGCAATTTTTGCAATTTCTGCAATTTTCAGAAATTTTTGCAACTTTCAGGAAATTTTGCAATTTTCAGGAATTTTTGCAATTTTTGCATTTCTCAGGAATTTTTGCAATTTTTGCAATTTCTGCAATTTTCAGGAATTTTTGCAATTTTTGCAATTTCTGCAATTTTCAGAAATTTTTGCAACTTTCAGGAAATTTTGCAATTTTCAGGAATTTTTGCAATTTTCAGGCATTTTTGCGATTTTTGCAATTTTCAGGCATTTTTGCAAGTTTGCAATTTTTAGGAATTTTTGCAATTTTCAGGTATTTTTGCAATTCTTGCAATTTTCAGGAATTTTTGCAATTTTCAGAAATTTTTGCAATTTTTGCAATTTTCAGGAATTTTTGCAATTTTCAGGAATTTTTGCAATTCTTGCAATTTTTACAATTTTCAGGAATTTTTGCAATTTTTGCAATTTTCAGAAGTTTTTGCAATTTCTGCAATTTTCAGGAATTTTTGCAATTTTTGCAATTTTCAGGAATTTTTGCAATTCTTGCAATTTTCAGGAATTTTTGCGTTTCTGCAATTTTCAGGAATTTTTACAATCTTTGCAATTTTCATGAATTTTTGCAATTTTTACAATTTTCAGGAATTTTTGCGATTCTTGCAATTTTCAGGAGTTTTTGCAATTTTTGCAATTTTCAGGCATTTTTATTCTTGCAATTTTCAGGAATTTTTGCAATTTTTGCAATTTTCAGGAATTTTTGCAATTTTTGCAATTTTCATGAATTTTTGCAATTTCAGGAATTTTTGCAATTTTTGCAATTTTCAGGAATTTTTGCAATTTTCAGAAATTTTTGCAATTTTCATGAATTTTTGCAATTTTCAGGAATTTTTGCAATTTCTGCAAATTTCAGAAATTTTTGCAATTTCTGCAATTTTCAGGAATTTTTGCAATTTTTGCAATTTCTGCAATTTTCAGAAATTTTTGCAACTTTCAGGAAATTTTGCAATTTTCAGGAATTTTTACAATTCTTGCAATTTTTAGGAATTTTTGCAATTTTTACAATTTTCAGGAATTTTTGCGATTTTTGCAACTTTCAGGAGTTTTTGCAATTTTCAGAAATTTTTCTTATTTTCAGGAATCTTTTCAATTTTTGGTATTTCTGCAATTTTCAGGGATTTTTGCGATTTTCGCAATTTTCAGTCATTTCGATTTCTGCAATTTTCAGCAATTTTTGCAATTTCTGCAATTTTCAGGTATTTTTGCGATTTTTGCAATTTTCAGGAATTTTCGCGATTTTTGCAATTTTTACAGTTTTCAGGAATTTTTTCAATTCTTGCAATTTCCAGAAATTTTTGCAATTTTTGCAATTTTTCCAATTCCCTTTAGTTTTCAGTTCGGGCTTATTACAAACAGCAAAAGATATCATAACTAAATTCATACTAGATTCATCAATCACGTGATCTTCATTGCTCCAGTTCGAAAATAGAAATCATTTCCATGAATCATTTCAATGAACATTCTGGATTGCAAAATCAATAGGAAACTTATTCGATGAAATTGCGTTAGAAAATGTTTGGAAAAATTGGAATTTTTGTAGGTTGAACATTTTCTGTACAACAAGGGTGCAGGAAGATACATCCCAATATCTCAACTGGTTCTTTTGAGGAACAAAGAAAGACCGAGACACAAACTGGTATTTTTTTATGACACTGTAAGAGTTCCTTCTGAATTTCTGTTAACGTTTCAGTTGCCTCATCTCAAATCCATGGAAAACCCAGACGATTTTGAAATAGATGATGAAGGACCAGAAATAACCGAAGAAGAATATCAAAAAAGTAATTAAAACAATTGTATTATCATTATTTTTTTCCTGGTTAGCTTATGCATGAAAACGTATCGTCCGATTTTCCAATTTTGTAAAACTGCGTAAGTTTCTGGTGGTGACTATTGAATTCGCAGTCATTTGGAATAAATCTTTTTCTGGTGATGAAATGTTCAATTTGGAGCTGAACTTGAATCAGGAATTTTCCACTAATAAAAATATCAAACATACTTGTAGTAAAGTCAACTAACCCACTAAATTTTGAACATATTATGTAGATCTCATGTAGAACCCCAACGTAGAGAGCTAACTCAATTTAGAGAGCTAACCCAACGTGGAGATCAAACCCATTATACGTCCTTGATCAAACCCAACGTAGAGATCAAACCCAGATCTAGTAACATATCTTCGAATAGGTTACTAGATCTACATTCTCTTCGATTTCACTCTCGTCTACATTTCACATAATTACAATTTTAATAAAGAATTCTGATACAAACTAAAATTGTTGTCATGATAATTTGTTTAAGAAATTCTGTTGGCAACGTGTTTAATTTTTTGAATAAATCACAGATCGATGTTTATAGATCCCAGCAAATATAGGCACGTATGCTGGAAACTTAAAGAGAGAGGGGCAGTTGGGGAAACGATACTGCATCTCTGTCTTCTCAACGCTACATCCCTTCATGCTGACATCGCCAAAAGGCTGTTACGGTTTTATCCGAAACTCATCAACGACATCTACATCTCAGACGAGTATTATGGTAAGAATTTTTCACATTCATTGCAAGAGTACAACCAGTTCCTAAAAAAAGCAAAAGGACCCTACCTAGCAACCACAGACCGATCGCACTGTTATCTGTTATTTCAAAGATCATGGAGAAAGCTATCAACATCGAGCTCATGAAATACCTGGAACATTCAGGTATTATCAACGATAGGCAATATGGCTTCCGTCATCAGAGATCAACTGGTGACCTGCGACCTGCTCGCTTACGTCTCACATATATGGCAGCAATCTATTGAAAAATATGGTGAAATCTTAGCCGTGGCACTTGATATCTCCAAGGATTCGATCGAGTCTGGCACCACGGACTCCTCGCCAAGCTTCCATCTTATGGCTTGCCTCCCCAGCTATGTTCCCTGCTAGCTAGTTTTCTCTCAAACAGGTCTCTCCATGTAGTGGTCGACGGAGATTCATCTGAGTCTCTTATCATAAATGCTTGTGTTCCGCAAGGATCAATTCTAGCACCAACACTATTTCTACTCCATATCAACGATTTGTTGAAAGCAACTTCATGTCCAGTACACAGCTTCGCGGATGATAGAACCCTCCATACCGCCTTCTCTTCCAGGGCTCCAATACCATCCAGGCGAATCAGAAACGAACGAGGGAGAAATGTTGACAACATAAATATGGTCTTGGCATCAATTATTCTCGAATAGGGATCCAATAACTTGTTAGATTTCAATGCAAACAAAACACAAGCATGGCTTTTCTCTAGAAAAGCCGATCTCACTGTGCCCAACATAAGCTTGTCAGGAGTAACCATACCTTTGGAAGACATCCATCTCGATGCTTGGTATTACTATCAGCAATAACCTTCTTGGGAAAATCACGTGAGATCAATTGCTAAAAGTGCATCCCAAAAACTTGGTTTTCTGTTTCGGGCCAGAAGCTATATCATTTCCAGTCAGCTGCTTATGATCTATAAGGCACAGATCCGACCTGTCCTGGAATACTGTTCCCATATTTGGAGTGCAGCACCCAAACATAGTTTTAACAGTAGGTACATCAATACCCTAATTTTCGTGGATCAAAGGGTGATACTTCATTAACAATCAATGTCATATTTCTCAATAATGAAACTTTTGCAGGTGAAAACGTCCTGCACATCGCCATAGTCAACGAAGACCCGGCCATGGTGAGATTTTTACTGGACGCCAACGTTAATATTTCTGAGCGCTGCTTCGGGAATTTCATGTGTCCCGAGGATCAGAAATCCTCCAGATCAGACTCGGTCGACCACGAATGGGTCAACGTGTGCTCAGCGACCAACTACGAAGGGTAAATTCATGACAAAACAAAATCAGTCTGATGCTCAGAAAATATTAAGATTTCGGTTGTTGGCTAGTCTATTGTCTTTATGAATGAAAACCTAGTTAGTATGCGTAGTATATATGTAGTAATGAATAACATACATAAATATTAATAACTGGTTCCTTCAATTCAGTTCAATTCATAGGTGATGGTGATTTTTCCTGTTTATCAGTTCATGTTCTTCAGTTCTAGGTTTCCTTTGGATCCATAATTTGAACTTTTTTTTGAATAATCCTATCGACCGCATCTTTATCATTTCCAAGGGTAAAATATCGTAAATTATAGGTCTCAAGTAGGTAAAGCATCGTTGTGCCAGTGTTTTTGCGACTTTTTTTTTCTTTATATCTTGTATCATATAATTATGATCGATTTTTTTCAATTCGTCTCTCACTGTGTAATGTTTGATAATGATACTCTGAAAGTATAACTGCCTAGTGTCGAAGACATTGCTACCGTCAAACAGAGCTGAGCTTAATTTTTATATTCCGATTTAGTATCGTCATGTAAGTAGGAATGGTGAAAGATGCAAAGGGCATAAAATAGTTTTTTCCACAATTCATGGCGAGAGTTCTGTGATTGAGTCATTTAACAATGTTAGGAAAGTCGGTTTCTGCTTGATGAATCACCGCTGAATCATCAGCAAAACTAACAACATCTCCGAGTACTTCGAGTTTGTAGAGATCATTAATCATAATATATATATATGTTAAATAGAAGTGGCCCAAGAACGGTTCCTTGAGGTACTCCGAATTAAATGGTTCTAGTTGAACTGAATTCTTCCATTTTTACTCTGTATCGCCAATTCTCTAGATAGCTAGCCATCAATATCAATAATATATTAAATAATATCCTTCTGAGGCTTATTTGAACTGTCCAATTGCGTATTTCTCGAAAACTGTAGAATAATACATAAAATAATATTCCCTGTATAAAAGTATGCCCCTGTGCCGATTCTGATAACAATTAATAAATATACAGTGAAATTATTAGCAAAAAAACGAAAAATAAATCAACTTTAACGCCCTGTATCTTTTTCCACAGCAATATTTCATTGAGGCATATTTGGTTCTCCATATTTTGGTCCAAACAATCCGGCCTTAGACTATGTCCCAATAGTTATGACTCACCCTGTATAAAATACTTAGGCAACATTTCATGTTTTTTATAGTTATTTTTAGATAATATGGAAATGTATTTAATATGTTAATTGTACTCAATGAGAAAATGAATTTGAGTTAGTGACGTGGAAGGAAAAAAAATATTACATGATCATGGGCAAGTTTTCAACTTTTTTGATCATGTTTTTATTATGAAAAAATGTATTTTATTATTAATATTGTACGCTGATATGTATGTTATTTTAAAAATGAATGAAATAGAATGAAAATTAATTATGGAATTGCGGAGACGATTTTGGATTTACGCTCTCACTCGGAGAAACTATGGACTTTTTTCATTATTTTTAGGTATGTTTATTGGGGTGAATACCCTCTAACTTTTGCCGCGTGTTTGGGGCAAGAAGAGAGTTTTCGTCTGATATTAGCAAGGGGGGCTGATCCGGACGCCCAAGATACCAATGGCAACACTGTATTGCACTTGCTCGTGATATTTCAAAGAGTGGTAATAATTTCTGGAATTTTGATCTTTCAATGCCTACACTATACAGGGTGTTCCTTATTAATGACATGCTCTAATATTCAAGGGGGCTGTTTTACCACTAACCAAACCGATTTTTTAACGCCTCGACACGTGTTTCGCTAACTATGTTAGCATCTTCAGGAGAAGATTAAAACTAAATTATCCTATTCTAGTGTGCTGCTTATATACTAGGTATATGTTCACTCAACTGTGAAAAATACTAACCGTCAAGTTAATGTTTGTCATGGTTGAGTTCACATGTTAATCTTAATTTTCATTTTACTAAACTATATATAGAGGGCTATATGGAATAGGTCCATTATCCTTATTCATTACTCTATTACTATTCTTAAATATCTCTATGAGCTTTCATATGCGTCTAGTTTTCTAATGTTATTAACTTGCTTAACTAATTTGAGGTTAGTAATATGTGCGTTATGATTATGTGTTCTTTGAACCTTGTTTTTGGGTCGCCTGGTTTGGCCTATATATATTTTATCACAATCATTAAACTTATTTCGTATATTCCCGACATTTCAAGTGTATCCACTTAGGATAGGATAGGATATTTAGTTTTAATCTTCTCCTGAAGATGCTAACATAGTTAGCGAAACACGTGTCGAGGCGTTAAAAAATCGGTTTGGTTAGTGGTAAAACAGTGTAGTGTGTTATCGTGCCAAAGGTTCCAGTCTTCGATATATGCATAGATTATTTTTTGTCCACCCTGTATAGCTTCTCGCGATGAAAAAATTCAGTCTGCTATGTGACTGAAACGGTGCGAAAATTTCAAAATGTTACATACTGTGGTTATCTATTTGAAGTCTGGTCTCGTTTTTCCGTTTTTTTCTCGAAAACGAAGCGTTCTATCGAGTATCAACAAGATGATCTTTTTTGTACAAAATCGAATAGCCTTTCATAGGATTCTATGAAATTTGTAAATTTTTCTTCATTGATCACTTTTAAGTGAAATATAAACAATAATATCCCCTAAACGGCGCCACTGGTAGAGAAAATGAAAATTTTTGTACATCAGAAAATGCACCATGATGCATAGAAGACATGTACCAAATTTGGTAAAGATTTCTACAATATTATCTCAGTTATTATTAAAAAACTGATTTTTTTTTAAACTCTATCGCCCTGTATCTCAACAGTTAAGACTTTTAAGACATACGTTCATAGGGAGTTTTTATCTTAAAATGAGTCAAAGAATCACCACCTTAAATATTAACATGTCTTTAAGGAAAACCCAGTATTTTCCGAAAAGTGTTAAAAGATGTTGAAAAAATATTTTGTAGGAACATTTTGATATGGCATACGAAGTAGGAGCAAGTCTTTCTATAAGGAACGTACTAAATCTGACACCTCTCACATTAGCTGCCAAACTAGCCAGAATTGACATGTTTTTTCATATCCTGAACTTGGAAAGGGAAATATACTGGCAAATAGGTTTGTTAAAATCAATAAAGGATTCAGATAACTTTTATTATAATATAATATATTAAGTTACCTTATTTTTTTCAGGCAGTATAACTTGTGCAGCCTATCCCTTATCACAAATAGACACTATTGACATAAACTCTGGTCATATTTGTAAAATTTCTGCTTTGAATTTGGTCGTTTTTGGGGTAAGTAAAACAGCTGCTATCCAGACCCACTCTTGAATACTATTATGATCCCATATCAAACCATGCATAATAGTATATTATTCAACAAGCTTATAATAGCTCATTATATGCGAGTAGAATACTATACTTTGTCCACGACTACTATTGTCTTTGATCTACAGTTCTCAACACACAAATGGACCACTCATGATTTGACTCTTTTTCGACTACCTGTATTTTTTGAAATAATTGACCGATCTTCATGCGGTTTTCGATATCAGATGTGATATTTCATCGGCTTCAAATAGAGCTAGAACACTCTGAGAAAGTCCGCAGGACAAAACTCACACAGGGTGTAAAGTAGAACCATTACACTATGGTCTACATTTCCAATGCTGCCAGAACTCGAGAAATTTTTTTCTGATCAGAAGTCAGTCATATTATGATACACAGGGACCTCATCTCGGGACGTTTTCGATATTCCTCCTCAATTGGCCATTGGGACAAAAATTAGATTTTTTTGTTCAATCGGATTCAGATCTGGAGATAATGCTGGCCACCACATTCTTCTAACATAAGTATTTTCTAGAGTTCGTATAATTTGTCAGATAAGTTGTGAAACACTCAGTGTATTGAACAATAATACTCTGTGTCTCATACTTGGGCAATAAATATTGGAAATCAGTTGATAAGAATCATCGATATCAGGAAGCAAGTTTCAATTGAGAACTTTCATCCTGTATTTCAATTAGAGGTGAATTTTCGAAAACGTCTCGAGTTAATGGTCTACTATGAATAATGGATATCGAGAACGCCGTTTCTGAATATACTGAATCGAATGGGCCATGGTTTTAGTCACCGTTTTTGATTTTTTTTACTGAAATGAGATTTTGTCCTATTTTCTTATCATCCTGTCTGTTATATCGCGTACCCTAGGAACTCTAGACCAGTGAATTGACCAGTGAGGAAGTACATGAATTATGAAAATTGTATACAACAGTCGGGAATAAATTATTATTTCATCCATAAATGTGTTGCCTGTCTCTCTATGTATTTATACAAGAGTGATTCAGAATTTGATGTAGAGATATTATATTACTCTCAACATTACATTATTGAAATATTGAAAACGATTTTGATTATTTTTTGTTTGATATGTTTTAAAAATTTCCATCAACAAATGAATTGATATAGTTTTATTTTTTTAGGATAAAGACGAACATTTGGAACTGATGGACGGAGTGCTGATAGACCTGCTGAATGCAAAATGGAACACCTTCGTCAAATTCAAATTTTACCGTCAATTCTTCACTTTTGCCTTCTATTTCCTGATATCTCTGATCGCCTTCACTCTGAGACCAGGCCCTCCTGAAGCTACCAATACCCCAAAACAATCTATCAACGTCACCAATACCACAAAACCGACACACAGTCCCATCAAAAATACCGTCAACAATACCATAGTCAAATTGGCTACAGAACTGAATTCTACTGCAAAATCAGTGATTGGAAATAAAGGTAAAGGAAAGGACACCGCACGTTTTATAGGGAAAATGGGGGTGTACACCTTAGTAGAACTTTTAACTCAAACCATGTTTATATAATGATCCTTTTATACATAAATAATGATTGACGACATAATTCGATAGAAAAATTAACTGAAATAATGTTTTATTTTTGGACATAAATAATTGTACCTTCTGAAAACGGACCCTCTTATGACGTAGAAACCCCATCTCGCCATAGTTAAAAGAAAATACCAAACGCCCGACGGAGACTGAGGCAACTGATATATTAATTCTTTCAACTGTGATCTCGCGCTAATTCACTCTGTCAGAAATCATGTATCATTCATCTCTGTCTGGAATAGTCTTGTTTCAGTATTAGGGTTTTGACGTCACATCATCGCCTCGTTTTCAGAGGTCCGAAAATCGGGGATTTCAATAATTTTTTATAAAACGTAGGGAGCTCACAGCAAGAAACGGTTTGCGGTGGTGAGCTAGTTTGGGTGAGTTCTATCGAATTATGAAATACATTTTTTTTGTGATATAAGCCCGTTGAACATTCTCTATCCGTCTAAAATATTTTCATTGGTACAATGTTGCCACTTCTATCAGGAACAACTAACAACTCTGTTATTTCAAATGGAACACCCTGTATTTTATTGCATTTCTAGATTCTTCCTGAAGAAAAAATACAGGGTGCTTCAAGATTCAGAATTCTGATCACCCTGTATCTGTTCCAATTAAATGTCAGTAGATAGTGAATCAAAAGTTGAGATAGGGACATATAAAAAAATCTCTCGATTTTGAACACCCTATATCTCTGTAAACATTCCTGCTAGACCCCAAGTGTGATGCATTGATGAAATCAGCTCTCCAGGAAGAATCTAAAAATGCAATAAAATACAGGGTGCTCCATTTAAAATAACGAAGTTGCTAGTTGTTTCTGGTAGAAGTGGCAACACTGTATCGATGAAAATATTTTAGACGGATAGAGAATGTTCAATTATCAAAGCATCCCAATTTTCAGAATGTTCTGATTTTATAAATTGTTTTTTTTTTCATATCTTAGCGGAATAAACAAGTTTTCGTGGGAAAAAAATTTAGTACTGCTATGAGTATGGAGAGTACTCTGTCTCAATATTTCCATTTTATACCACGGGACTAAAGTTTTTACATTGGGATTATAAAAGTTCTACTACTGAGTACTTTATAATTAACTTTTCTTGTTTCCTGTCAATTTTTCTAGATGATGATGACGATTATGACATGGAGGAATGGTGGGAAAACTTAAGAGAAGAATGCAGGCTTATGCAACTAGAATCACTAGAGGCCAAAATCAGAATAAGCGCTGAGATAGCGATGACTGTTGGAGCTTTTCTGTACTTAGCTGCAGCAGTACGCGAAGCTAGATTCCTTGGTGGAAGAATGTTCTTCGAAAATCTCGTAAATATAATATCATGATTGAATTAACAGTAACAATGAGTTGACATCAGGTATTCAAGAATTACTCACCCACTTTTCTTCTACTCCATCAGATTTTTGTAATTCTGATCTTTGTATTTCTTCTGTATCCAAAGGAAAACTTTCACTGCACTAGACCATTTGCTACAAACAAAAATAAAAATGCATTCAGTGAATTATTCAATTGCTAAAAAGCCGACATTGAAGTTCAGAACTACTCTCAAAATATATTGGAAACATATTTTAGAACACAGTTAGTTACCATAATCCAAAATATAAAAAAATTACCATTTGATATACCTCTGTTGATCTTTCCATTTGATGCAATCATTTGCTATTTTAAAAATCGTTAACTTTCAACTTATCTAGCTTTCCATGATGGGAGCCTCTGATAAGCTACACATATTTCTCAACAACCAATAAGAGCAAGAATTCATTTTCACCGTAGGGGTGTATTGTGAACTCAGAATATGTGAACTAATAATTATAAGAAGATTTTATTATTAAATATTATTGTGTTGTCAGCTTCAGCATGGAAAGGAGGAATCAAAAAACAAATGGATTGGGAATAATTCACACTGTAATATAATAATCTCATAACAATATAGGTCGCATGTATTTGTGAAGTAAATTTCAGATTTGCTGAATCCATATCCAACTCAAGTTTTCTGCGTTCAATGCTATAGAAAGAAATGGTCGGAAAGTTTTTGATTTTATTTGAATGAGTTGAAATAACCGTTATGAAAGCCAAAAATGTCCTGCTTCATTATATTTATACTCAACTATTTGTTTCATGATGACTATCATGAAAATATACATTTCAATCTCTGATATCAACTATTTTTGATAGTAAACTGATATTTTCATTTCAGAAAACATCTCCTAGTCGCGTGATGTTCTTATTCTCCTGCATTTTAATGCTAATCATCCCATTTCTCAGAATGGCTTGCCAGGATGAAATAGAAGACACAGTAGCAGTGATGGTAATGTTAACAACAGCACCATATTTCCTTTTTTTCTGCAGGTACCTATCCTACCTCAAACAAAACTTCTAGATCTTCATATAATACACATAATTTTTCAGGGGTTTCAAAACTGTAGGTCCTTTCGTAGTAATGATATATCGTATGGTAATGGGAGATCTGATAAGGTTCGCTTCTATTTACTTGGTTTTCGTAGTGGGATTCTCCCAAGCTTATTATATAATTTTCCTTTCCTTTGATAACCCCTTGACGCCAGACGATGTTGATGATTCTGCTACAAACCCCATGTCCACGCCTATAGAATCGATAATGGCGATGTTTTTGATGTCTATGACCAACTTTGGGGACTATTATGACGCTTTTGCTAGAACCGAACATGAATACGAGGCAAAGGTTCGAAATATTTGCAGACATTTTTGTTTGGGTAGTCTAGCTTTAAGTTTCAGGTGCTTTTCGTTATTTTCATGGGCATTGTAGCGATTTTACTGATCAACATGTTGATTGCTATGATGGGAAACACTTACCAAAAGATTGCAGAAACTAGAAACGAATGGCAAAGGCAGGTAAAATCATAGAAACTCTGTATCGGTATTTTGAAATTGGAACAAAAATCATAGTAGGTCATAGAACTCGTAGGTCACTTATTCAAAGTTTGAAGCACTAGCACAGATTCTTCTTCTTATTTCTTTGACTTTATGGCTATCCGGACATATGGCAGTGGCTATAATTCCAACCACTGGTCGTATCATAATAAATCCAAGATTTTTTTTTGTAGTGGGCAAGAATAGTTCTCGTAGTAGAACGTGGCGTGAGTCCACCAGAACGATTGAAACAATTGTTGGTATATTCTCAACCTATGTCTAATGGTAAAAGAGCCCTGGTCCTGCGATTGAATCAATCGGTAAATGAACCGCTCACTGAAAAACCTAAAAACTGATTTTAAAGGCCTATGTACGGATTTTAGGATGAAGACAAGGAAGAAATGAAGGAGATACTGGAGATCAAGAGGAGGCATGAGAGACATGTCAAGAAAAGGAAGGAGAAGAACGAAGAAAATCAACAAAAAACATTTATAACAAATGAGAAAACCAATCAATGAAATTAAATGATCTTACTTGAAGACTTAATTTACTTATGTTTCAAACCAGTTGAGTTATTCTATAGCAAGAATCAACATCATAAGTTCGGATTCACATTGATAATGACTGATGTAAAACCTGGTTTTAGAGCTTAGAAATGACAAGGCAAAAGGCAACGGAGTGTAGAATGGCCATAGATGACTAGAAATTTGGCGTTCTGTGTGCGTTCATTATATGTGATATAATATATGACTATGACAGATAATGGATTATTTCCGTAACTGGTGAAAAATTGCCTGTTGAACAATAATATCAATTAATCGAGATAATCGATGATTCTGATAAAGTGTAACCAGGCCTTGAAGATTTTACAAAAATGCAAAGTAACGGTATAACGGTATTATAGCCACTTTCAATAAATTTTGACATATCTGACCAGTGACCACCATTATGAGTTCTATGGTGACCACCTGTTAACTGACAGTGACAGGCTGACAGCTATGTAGCGAAAATACAAATAAACTCGAAAATACATAACGTTTTGAATAGAGCCGGTTGTGATATTATAATTTTGATTTTCCTACTACATGGTCAAAATTACAATAAAGTCGATAAATGAGAGTGAAAATGACAGAACATGGAGCTGCCTTGCAAACCTACAACCAAGAATTAGTTAAATGTAGGAATCAAACAAGATTCTGGTGATTGAATATAATAACTTTTTTTGTAGGTTTAGAAGACCTGAAAATAAGAAAAAACGAAGTACGGGCGATGATATACAAAGAGCAGGCAGAAAAAGTCGTCATAGAAAAAAACATCAAAGCCTTGCAGGATAAGCTCCTGTTATTAACACAAAATCTTCAGCAACATGAAGAGATGTATGAAAGCTATGAAACTACAATTCAGGAAACTGAAAATGGATTCAGGAAGGTTAGTGGCCAAATAAGAAATAGAAATATTCTGAATTCAATATTTTTGTTTTTTCTTCTTCAAGATTTTAGAAAGCAGTCAAACACTTCTACATATGGTCCAACATGAAGTTATTAGGCTTGATTCTAGTCAAAACATAAGCCTAGATAATATGATGATCAAAGGCATTCCTTCATACCATAATGAGAATGTTAATTACTGATGTTTTTCATTCTTCACTAATTTTAGGTCAAGTTTGTATACTGTAATACCATTAATATTATTTTTTTCTATTGATTTGTCATGTAATTTTAAGTATAAACTATTCTATTAGATTCAAAATAATTTATTTTTTAAATAATATAATTTAACAATATTCAGTTCATTATTTCATTCAAAATATTTAATGGAATCACAGAATCATAATGAAAACAAATATGTGTTGAAACATGGATTGCTTTATACATTTCCTAAACTTTTCTGCTCAGTCCAAATATGGAGTAACTCTCTAGGATCTCCATATCCATGACTAGCTACAACATATTTGAACCTAAATTTGTCATAATCCTTCCTATAGAAATAAAATTCCTCACAATGTAAAGGCTCAATTTTGGCCTTGTATGCCAACAATCCTAGGTAAATATCATCAAACCTAAAATGTTCAGTGTAAAAACTTGTATAGTACATATCTATCAAGGCTGCTCTGGACAAAACATAAGCCCCAGCAGTAATATAAACAGGCCACTTGTGATAAGGATACTCTTTTAATGACACATACCATTTGCTGGTCAAATGTCTAAGAGGGGAAGAGTCAACTAAACACCCAGTGTACAGCCTAACATCATTTTCCAGCTCAAAAGTCAATTCCTGTGGTCTACGTCCAATTTTGAGGAGTTCATTCATTGTTCCAAATGGATCTTTCAAGTATTTTGGATAGTTAGTGGGGTACCGAACAAACCTAAGTACGTTTTTTGTAGAAACATAGTAGTCATCATCAACAAACATGTAGAATTTAGAGTTAGAACAGAATTTAGTAGCCCACTGTAAGCCCATCATGGTTTTGTAAGTGTTATTGTAGTAAGTATCTGTGAAGTTCGCATGGACTATATCTTTATACTTGGAATACTCCTCATTCAGAGAATCTTGTAAACTTTTTGAGTCTCGATTGCCTACCAAAAATACAGTTCTTATCTCCACATCTGAAAATCGTCGCTCATACCCCCAAGAGCTTCTTATAGCATTACGCCGATCAAAATTCTCTGGGGAGGACTTGATGAGATATACCAGCCTTATCTCTTTCACTCTGGCACATTTTTCATGGCAAGTTTTACTGTATTCAAAATAATACATGTTTATTGGTGCTACATCCGGTATTGAATGGGCTTTCAGGCTCTCCACAAACGATTCTATCTCCCCATCATAAGGATAGTGAAAATCGTCGTAAAAATCACGTTCTAGTAAATGGTGAAAGGCTCCAAATACATAAAGGAGGCAGAGAGACACCAGAAATGCCAAATATCTTTTCAGTTTTCTTGAGTTGGTGAACATTTTGATTCTTTAAAATTTCGTGGTTCTACTAACCATCCACTCGCTAGGTATAATACATTTCTAGATGACATTAGGTAATTCAATTAGTGAATTACCTACTTATGAAACGAAACTACGATTCATAATCGCACCACGCACCTTCATCATTGCATTAGCATAAACAGTAATAAACACCAAAACACCAGCAAAAAGCAAAACAAAAAAGATTGGTTATTTTCTTTCATTCGATTCGAGTCCAGGTTATTATAAAAAAAGGTGTCTGTAATGACTGTAATCTGTATTAGTGTAATTGTGGTTATGTCCGTGGTGGTTTCAGCCCTCGGAAGAGAAGAAAGGAATTATCCGTCACGGGTTAGGTGCGAACGTGGCATTACTCCATAACAAGATTCGTTTTCACCATGCTTTAACATTTAGCCGTGATAATCATCTATTTTTTCAATTACCATTACCAATTATAACTATTCACCAGACTGACTGTTTTTTTCATCCTTCAATCAGTCTGATCTGGATGGTTGCCCAAATTCGCCCATAATAAAGTACGGTAAATAGGAAGTATTTCTGATCATGAGCCTCTTCGACTGGTGCTGCCACTCGCGTCGCAAATTCGAAGTTCAAAAATTCGTAATTTTTCCATTTTTCCTGTGCTGTGAAAACACGAAATTGTTTACAAATTATGTTTACCCAACAATTGGAGTAATACCTGGCCTCAAAATCGCTGTTAGCTAACATTGATTAAATAAATAGTCCGTTTTTTGCTGTGTAAGAAGTAACCCCAATAATCAGAACAGAGTAGAAACAACGATATGTCGCGTATTCGGCCATGTTTCTCGCGTTGAAAGTAGGCTGTGTGTTTATTTATATTTTTTGAGTGAAAAGTTCCGTTTTGGATAGCCCAAGTGTGCCCTGGGTTTAAAAACATTATAATGGATTCAACAGATAGGGGTGAGTAGTGCTATTTCTGGCGTTTATCAATAAAAACAGGAAAATGTGTGAATAAGAGGGCAATGGCAAAGTCAGGGTCGCGAATTTGGTTCAGTGACCGCATTTTCCTTATTTATTTTAACAAATTTGGTACGGGATCTAGGGCAACAGACAAAGTACAAAATGAATTTATCAGTTTGGATGGGATGATGTTTATTTTTAGTAATTATACAATTGTTGTATTTTTAAGGCTGTTTTGTTGTCAGTTCCAACACTGGACATGCGTCGAACCTGCCCTACTTACTACAGGTTGGTTGGTTCATGAAGAACCATACATACACATACTTACCTACATATTGGAACAAATTTATTTTCAGTAAATGTACAATAACAATTATTCATTATTTTGTAGGACACCCATGGCTTAACCAGTTTCACAAAGGTTGTTGTAGGTACCTGTACCAATCAAGACCTACATATAGGGTAGGTACCTTGTACCTACTCTGTGGGAGGGATGGTTTTCACAATCCTACCTTTATAGAAATTAGGAGATTAGGAATAATTCTTTTATATTTTTTTCTGCTTTTGAATTAGACAATGTGGTTGGCGAATTCAAAATTAATAATAAAAATTAACCAATAATCATGTATGAGTTTATGATAAGTTGTATGGAGGGTTTTATGTACCTAGAATCTATTCAAGTTTCAAGTAGATAACAACAAAATATTCATCTTGTGATCCTCTCAAACTGCAAACTGTTGTTGTTTACCTTGAATCTACCAATGTAGCTGCAATCCTGCAATTCACCAGTATTTAAAAAAAAGGTACCTACTGGAACTGGTACTATAGTTGATATTTTCCGAGACCAAGTCTGATGTGATTTGGATGTTAACACTACTAGAACCATCCATAGATGATGTTTCCATAAAAAAAATTGGAAAATAAATTCACGTGAAACCCAAGATCTGCCAAGATTAATCCCTATCATTAAATTTCCTACCTGGTGTCTACCATCCTCGCTACCATCTGTCTTCTACACCTGACAAAACATGAATCATTATATGTTTTGATTTTCAAAGCCAATCCAGTTTCTCTGTCCTTGGATCTCGTCTCAAGGGCAAAAATACAACCCTGCTGAGCGCTAATATTTAAGAACTGATTATCATCTAATAAGTGGTCAACATCTGCCTAATCGTTTTTTAGTAGGTACCATTTTTCAAACAGACGGCTGTCTGGGGTCTTATTACCTATTTCATTAAAGATTTCCATCTTTCATTTTGATATAATGAAGGCCAATTCGATATTCACAACTCATGTTCAATTTGATCATTTCACACGCTGGTATTCCCAAACTCAATTCCTTTCTGTGCATGCCGATTTGTCCTATCATCGCCTCAAGCAGGCCGTGGGGAAACATGAAACATCTAAATCTGACCCACTTGCAGCATAGGTAATCAGACGTCAGTCGCGAGCGACCTTGACCTTATCCCAAGTCTAGCATGTCGAGGCCCCATACTAAAGAAACTAGCAAAGAAACTTACGAATTTCAACATGATACACGTCTCATAATTTAAGGTTCATTTTAGGCTAATTTTTTGCCCCATTCCCAATTTTTCTGCTTCTCTCTATCTAAAAAAAATCTGTGGCTTTGCTAGCTTCAGCCCAACTCAGCAGAGCCATTTATGAAAACATTGATTTTTCACCGATTTGATATATTGAGATTTTAGAAAAGAAAAAACGAATGATTCCAAACAATTCATCCGAGGATTCATCGAAATACGCTTTATTCACTATGACGATTTTATTAGGCAAAGTGTTAGTATTGATTGTATTATGCTGCATATTTTTTGAAAGAAACCTGATGTGGCTTCGCTAGCTTCTTTATTATGGACTTCGCTAATAGATTATCAGCTCGATTATCAGAGTCATGTCATCAGAATTTGAGGTTCAAATATAGTGTGAGCATCAATCAAGGCAAGGGATTAGGTATGTTGTCAGTACTGAATAGACGTGGATCGAGACGTGGATAGACCAGTTGGAATTGTAGGTTTTTTGAAGTATTACAACTTATAACAAATAAATAATGCATTCCTAATATTATATTTCAGTTATATGTCTATTTTAATGATTACAAAAATTAAATATTTTTTTTCATTGACCAACTTATTTTGAACACCTTGTAGCACGATGGATAAAACATTATTTCGAATGATGCCGAATAAACTATCATTTAATATGTGCAGGCGTATTTCGTGAAATATATCATTACTAATTGAAACACACTATGGGTTTTGACATTGCAATTCAAGACAAGATATGAACGTCCATCAATTAAATGCGAATTGTAAAAATAGACATGTTTTGACGTGCTGTATATGATGAGCATGTTTACGACCACAGACGAACCAAATTTAATGACGTTATGCTAATGTCTCGGTCAATGGACAAAGTGACAAAGACTTCAAATCAACAGAGTCTGAGACTTTTCATACACCTCAAAATCTCAAATACGAATGAAAATCCCAAGGAAGGAAGGAACTGGCACCTACAGTCAATTTCAACTTCACTCCATGTTAGTCCAATTTTTTGTTTCTCCAATATTGTGTGATGTTATGATTCTCCTCGTAGTACTGTCTTGTTTCGGCTGAAGATGGATTTTTATAAATCCGAAACATGCCCCCCTGAATAACTCACATCACAAAAAAATTGTGGAGATGACTGAGCGTCCCTTCCTTCCCTTTCAAATATACACATATTGCAAGTTTTTGTACCATACTGTATTCTGTATTTCGATTCATTCCTATAATAAAGGGAAATGAAGAACACTGGGATGAACATGTGATGAGCGATAGATATCTTCTTTAAATTGTTAAAACCCAATTAAAAATAAGCAAAAAATTAATCGCGCTTGTTTACGACTTCCTATCTAGATAATTCAGCGTGTTTCGAATATATCTCATTGATTTTTTTGTTATTGTACCGCATTAAAATAAATTAATGCGAATAAATAAACTATTAAGCAATCTTGAAGCCTTCTACAATCAAACTATTTTGCTGGATATTTTCCACAAAATTCACATTTGCCCTTATTTGTGATTCCATTTAAAGCATTATTGTAATGATTCTGTTGGTTAACAAAGTCAACTTGTGCTGTATAGGTAAATAGGTAAAAAATGATTCGTACGTACAGCAATATCGATCTAATTCCGTCTACCAAACCGTCTAGACATCAATTACAATACCCGGAATTTTATAATCAATTGTGTCAGGAATGAACCTTTCAAATAACCTCACTGGTTGAGGAAACGCCCTGTGTACCACTCACGTCTACCATCGCCCTTGATCTCTCAATTCGCCGCAGACCACGTCCCATTGTTCGATGTTTATGAAAACTCTTCAAAGAAAATAAACTAGACGTGAAACTAGATCGTGAGTTTGCAGGGAACCTGCTGCATCATGACCTACTGATCTCTTTGCGAGTGGGACGCAGCCTTGAGTATCCAAGGACTACCGCGATTTGCTGGATCACAAAATGGTTGCCATGACACCGAACGTTGTACAGTTGGGAACGTGAGATTCGCATCTTCGGCTAGCTAAAACAACTAACTCGAAAATTCGAATGTTTTTGTTTTTCTACGTGACCGCACTTGACTGACTGACGAATATCGGATATCACAGTAGGCCGAGGGGTAAATCTCCTTGGAAGTCTGGTGTACACTACGTTGGAAGTCTTTGGAATTCTTTGGATGTCTTTGGAAGTCTTTGGATGTCTTCTGAAGTCTTTGGTATTCTTTGGATGTCTCTGGAAGTCTTTGGATGTCTTTGGAAGTCTTTGGGAAACTTTGGAAGTCTTTGGAAGTCTCTGGATGTCTTTGGAAGTCTTTGAAAGTCTATGTTAACTGGAAGTCTGGTGTACACATTTTTCCTGGAGATTTACCCCTCGCAGTAGGCGCAGAAATAGGCAGAAAATACTACAAGTTGATTATTTGTTAACGCAATTGCAAGAATTATAAACTTTGAACGGGGAGCTGAGAACACATATCTCTTGAGATAAGGAGACGCAATGGCGACTACTGTCCTGTCATCGGCTCGCTTATACTGACCCACTGAAGTACAAGAACGTGTTCCAAGGCGTTATAGCCAATGAATAGTATAGACAAGTGCTATTATCCTGACTAACAATCAAAGAACGGGCTACAAAGACTTCCAGTCAAACACAAAACACAAATAAAACACAATAAATGATAGGGAAATGTCTCGGGAAATGTGGACCGTTCAATCTAGAAAAAAAACTATGAAAGACAAAGTATCATTATCATGATTATCATGTCCGATAGTCAAGCAGCCATTGAAGCGCTAAGCTCTATGGTTATCAGCTCTAATATGGTTTGGGAATACCGGGAATACCCTTTTATGGGTCCTGGGACATTCCGGAGTAGATAGAGATGAAGTAGAGGACAAACTTACTAGGAAATGAGCTCAAACACCCTTCCTGGGACCAGAACCTTTCTGCGAGATGAGCACAAGTACTGTATCAGAAGTAATTAGGAAAGAAGAGGTTAAACAGGCTAGACGATTGAGAAAATCTTCAAGGTCTGAGGAGGAGGAAACCTCTACAGAATGTTTCACCCTACAGAACCCTACCCATGATAGAGGAGAAGGAGCTACCCTATTTCTAAGGGATTTAGGACTGGAAAAATTGATATAGCTACGAAGAACAACCTCATCGCAAAAAGAAGGGGGCACAATAGATCTTTTAGGTCGCAGTTTAGTTACCCTTTATGCAAGTACAGAATAAAATACTTCGAAGTCACATCAAAGTTAGTAGCATTTCTAGACCAAAACCTTCCCCATAGTATTTGTTTTGCTACCTATGAAAGTTCCAGCTGCTTGGCATTTACCGTTGCTCTAGCTCCATGTAGTCCCAAGTGCTGCTCTGTATCCTTTGAGCAGAATTTTGCAGTCTTGAAGGTTTGATTTGAATAGATCCGGCTCGTAGGACCAACATGTTCGTTGCTTGATAGCTTGATAGTTAGTGGACTCTATGTGTATGGTAATATGATATAAGTATGATAATGAAATAAAGATTGATATTAGAATTGCAATTCGTAATTCGTATCGTATTCGTATTCATAAATGGAGGACATACAAGTACTAAGGGGAGATAATAACCAATCTTGTCCCTTTGGATGCGCCCAGACTGACAATTGCTCCATTGACCAACAAACCCAAAGAGCCAGTCCGAATGCCCAGCGAGAGGACTGGAGCAAGCAAAAGCGCAACGAAAGGCAAAGTCGGCAGGTGAATCGGACACCATCATCATCACAGGCGGCCGAGGATCCATCGTTTATCGTTTGTTCGCGATTGCATAGCTTGCCGCGATAAAGCACCGCACCAGCGTCAGTCGAGCGCTTTTGTTTGCACTGGCTGCTAGACCGGAGAATACGAAACCGACAATTCCCCGAAAACGGATAAAACGAAACGTTTTGAGTTGCAGTTCGCGATATATGTGAAAAAAAATACGGATGGTTGCGCAAAGAAAACAGTCCGTGTGTCCGTCTGGCGTTGATAATAATCGAGATTGCGTTGTTTTGACGGGCTTTTTTTTTGTTCAGTTGTTTAGCGACCGTCGTTGCTGCGTGATTGTATTGCGGTGATTTTTTTTGTGTGTGGAAAATGATGAAAAAGGAGAAGCCGATGATGTCGGTGACGGCTATCATCCAGGGGGCACAAGCCCAGCATTGGGGTAGAACTCTGGCGGGGTTCGGGCCACCCCACATGTCACTTGGTAATTTATGCACACCGCCCTGTATATTTCGCTAATTGTTTCATGAGCTTTATCACCATAATCGACTTTCGGAGCAACCGCATAGGCGTAGACCATTATGATATCACACTGTATATTCAATTTGTTAATCCTAGAAGCTTTTGCTAAATATTTTATTTGTTGATTAAGCATAATAAAAGGAGTTACACTTGGAATGAAATAAAAATAACTGAGATTCCATGTAGTTGTTACTTATCTCTGAATTAGTCATTGTAATAATCAATTTGAGAAAATACGATCGTTTTGATAATTATTCATCATGGTGACCTACGAACTGACCTCAAAATAAATAATTATATTGATTGAGAGGCGGCCTAAAGAATAGATTATCAAGTATTTCAATTTTTCATCCACTGTTTGTTCATCAAAGAAGAAAACAAATGAGTTGTTGTTGTTCTAGCATTCACCCTGTAGAAATCATTCATTCAGTAGGTAGGTACACACATTTTACCTTGAGTAACAGAATATGATAGAAAAAATATCGAAGTACTCATATTATAACTTATTAATAACCTTATGAGGTGATAACCGGGGTGAAAATAACTGTTCTTTTAAGTTTTTTTGAGATTTGTTTCTCAAAAAAGTACCACTCCATAGAAAAATACATTTTGGAACCCCTCAATTAATATTTCATAATGTGTTTTGTCCACGACTGTTGTATAAAATATTCATAATACATGTACTTCCTCAAGCAAAACGATAGCCATTTTCCACACCAGTGAATAATAGCGGTGAATAATCATTATTCACTGGTCTAGAGTTCGTAGGGTACACGATAAATGTTTTGTATTAAGCAAGCATTTATCAGTACACGTTCAGGCTATAGCTAGGTACATTAATTATAGCTAACTTCATACGAATCATATTCAAATATATAGAAATCTTGATATACCTCCTCAGTATTACATTATTCCTCTCTTTATAATGTATGTATACTTGGAATAAGATGTTAGTATCAAATAGGGTATATCAAGATGATATACGGAAGCCATTGACATGTATGAACATGACAAGATAATCATAAATAGTTGTCATTGTTGAAACGTCAAATTTCGACGACACGCGGTGTTTCAGTTATAATTCCTAAAAAATGGATATTGATAGTGATGAAGAGATATTGTGTACTCCACCAGAGATAATAGAAGCTGCAAAAGTCACGTCAATGAATTCGTTGCCGGAGAACTCCCGAAATCTGTATGCATCTGTGTACAACACCTGCATGAACTGGAGGGCGTCTAAGAAAATTCATTCATTCTCAGAGTCAGAGTCTTACTGGTATATTTCACGGAATTAGCTGCAAAATATAAGCCATCCACATTATGGACACATCACTCGATGCTTATGCTTAATATAAATCAAGGAGTCAATATAAAAAACACTTCAGGCATGTGATGAAAAATATCTTGCAATGAAGGTAAGACATGAAAAAAACTTGCTTAACTAGTATTTATGAAATAAAATTCATCCTTATCAGGTCACAATGATAATAGGAATAATGGGTGCAATTTGAATAAATAGGCCCATAATAGTCTTAGAAAGAATTAATATAACATACGCTTCAATTTTCAGTTTTCCTAATGTCAAATAAGTTATGATAAAACAGTTGTTGAAAATAAATTCATATATCAAGAACAATATAGTAGTCGTGGACAAAGTATAGTATTCTACTCGCATATAATGAGCTATTATTCACTAAGGTTAATTATGCCACTCGCTACGCTCGTGACATAAACTTAACCTTCGTGAATAATAGCCCTCATTATATGCTTGTTGAATAATATACTATTCACTCACTGTAGGAGGTGGATAAGATGGTACAAGTGTAGGTGTTATAATCAATTAATATTTCATAATGTGTTTTCACTTACTAATAAATACAGTCCCCTAACTTTTGTTGGATTTCAAAGGTCCCGGGTCCGTCCTTAGGTACCCCCACTCACTACTGGTAATACTTATAATTCTTCACGATTTTATTTCCGCTTCGAATTATTATAATACACTACACAGGAAACAGTGAGGAAACAGCAGGAACTCAAGTTTTCATTCAAGTAAAAGTAGCCAATTTTCATCAACTTTGGAACCCCATTTTGAATTAACCAACTTCTGACTTCTTCTTTTTTTTTTTTCAAAATCACGGTGAATCCGAGAGTGAATCTGAACTACGGCAATTTACCGACAGAAAATCTTTTTTTTTTGTACTGTAGGTTGTAGGTTAGCTTCTGTACAGTAGATTAGCTCTAATTGAAATACAGGACAATATTCTAAATTTATCAGGAAGTGACCAAGTTGTCATTGTGATAAAAAATAGAAGAAGATTTCAAATAACCCCAAAATTGCAATGTCAACAAAAACAAACAACACAAACTATTAAAAAGGACATGAAAGGGTGAACTTGTATTTTTACGAGGAAAAATATCGAAAACTCTTCACCAAACTACCGATACACGTTTATAAAATAGATACTGTGGGTGAATCGAAGCTTTCGTACGAAATCTCAGAAATTACCTATGTAATGTGTCTAAATTCACAGTAGGTAGGTATACTTTGAAAAGGATTTCTCAGAATTAAGAAATACTCAAATCCTGAGGGTGTACCTATACTATATAGTAAAAACGATTGGGAGTCGCCCATGTTATCACTGCAAATTGTGGATCTGCCGATTTAATTATACTTCGAGTTTGAATTCAAGGTTATCTAGATGATTTGTCTTGCGATGGTGTCAGCCTTGCATTCGTTTAAATTTAGCGGATAGACATGGGTATCTTTTGTTTGCCATTTATAAATATTTACCATCCGATGCTATGCATTTTAAACGCCACACAAACAACTATGGCAAATCTCAAATCTCCAAAGAATGTTCCTTGAGTCATTTAGTCTTTGGCCTTCTGGCACCCTTCATGGGAACCTACTACCTATTTGTGATAGTTATAAGTTCCTAGATAGTCAATAACAAACATAAAATAAAGTAAATTGATAGATCCAAGTTGTGGAATGTTTCAGCATTTATATTTTTATCTTCACTTGGAAATGAGGAAGTGGTTCGCAATTCAATTTGGTTCAAATTAAAAGTCCTTGCTACAGTTCAGTGACGTTTTTATTTGATCGAATCACACACAGATACCTATTTGACCTTGAAACGCTTACATTTCTAAAACAACATGTCTTATCAGAAAAACGAGACGGATATTTTTATCATTAAAAAACTGCAGTGTTTTGAATTTTTATCTCAAATATCATGAGAAACATTCATCTGATTACAGTTTCCGGAAATCATATACCGGGTATCAGCAAATTTTCTAGATAAGCCATGGTTTACAGAGTTCCGAATGTACCTATTAGATTCAAATTCGGCAGTGGTTTAGGGTTCGAGAATTGGAAATATTTGCGACAATTCATGGTCTCCTATCACTTCCGGTGTCACTGGAAACGACCCCAACTTTTGATTTCCAGAGAAAGAAGTTTTGATATTGTGAAGTCACACCCATTGAACTTATGGAAACTTCGAACGCAAATATCTTTGTAATCGTTTGAAATAACCCTATCAAACCCGGTATCATTGAATTCGTCATGATAATCCCTAATCAATTATTTAATACAATACAGGGTGTCCCATTCGATAATCAAAAGTTGGGGTAGTTTCCAGTGAAACTGGAATCAATCAATTGATGAGCAATTTGGTATACTTGCTACCAGGGTTGGCATGAATTAATTCATATGAATTAAATCAGTGATTTAATTAGTGTATCAATTCCATTGACTTTATTCGAAAAAGTCATGAATTCATTCAAATTTTTGAAAATGAGACAAATTGCACTATTACCTTTGATTTTAACTAGTTTAAACTGAAAAATTCGATCGTATTTTGGCAAGACTTTGTTATTTCAAGCATGATAGAGATTTTTACTAACAGATATATACAGTATCAAGTATCATCCATAAAGTCCATAACATATGAGAACAGGTTTATTATCACCTATCGAATTTTTTTCTCTCGGCGATCCATTATGCATAATATCTGATAACTTGAAAATTGATTTTGACACATGTCACGTGATCACTGGTATAGTGATAAATAGAAATAATACTATAAAGCGACGAAAAGTGGGGTTAGATACCAAAATATCCATAAACATTTCTTATTAAGTTGCTACTCCACATTCAGTTTCGAGCAATTTTTGGAGGAGAATTGGAAATAGCTATATTTTTTCGAATATTCTTCAATTTTGTTACAATTCTCTTTTTTTTCTGACAGTAGTGATGTTGATGATGTACAAGTTGAATAGAATTCAATTTTATGCTCACGTATGGAGTTTCCAGCCATTATTTGAGAAAACTGAAAATAGCTATTTTTATATTTTTTAAATAACTTCATCTTCCCATCTAACCCCACTTTTTGCCTTCGTTATTTTTGAATTTACCGCCATACCAGTGATCAAGTGACATGTGTCAAAATCGACTTTCAAGTAGTCAGACATGCATAATAGATCCCCGAGAAAAAATGTTTCGATATTCTACTAATACACTTTTTCTCCATGTGTTACGAACTTTATGAATGATACTGGATCTACAATACGTATCTATTATTTTGTATTGAAAAAATTACATGTTATATTATGATGTTATTCTACAAGATTTCTGAAGGGAATAAAAACATAGTTTTTTGTATTTTTTATTCTATTTCGCTTTGGGTAAATGAAGTTTGTTTTTTTTTGTTTTGGCCGTTTTTTATGCACTTCTCTGTATGTAGGTGCATTCAAATATAGGCCTGCTGTACATCAAATGGTATTACCGCTCGATATTAATGGTGTTGCTTTATGGCGTGTTGTTAACTGCACGAACCTTGAACAAAAGTCGTCTGCAGGTCAAATTAAAAATAAACAAACACAAAGTTGAATAGGACAAACAAGAGGAGTTTTTTACCTGGAAAACCGGATAATTGTATTGTTTTGCATGATTTAATA